GGGCCATCATATTGTAACAGTCATACTTATCATAACGTCTTACATATTGAGGTATTTTTTGTAACAATGAGTTTCTAGTTTTTATAATTTTTATGTTTATAGAAAAGGAAAATGGCACAAAAACCATTCTTTTTATATAGAAATTTGATTTTAACACTGTGTTTATTTTTGTTAATTTTGACACTGTGTTTTTCAATTTATTACAATTCTGACCACTTAACCGGTTAACCAGGTTACATGCTGACGTGACAGTTTTAATGACGTGGCATGCTGACGTGTCAAAATTGAATTTTTTTTCTCACAAAAAACATTAAGTCTTCATTTTTTTCGATTTTGACACTAAGTTTAATTTTTTCTTTTAACTTTGACACTATTTTTTTTTGTTTCAAATCGAACATCATTTTTTCCAATTTTGTTTAATATTGATAATTTTCAATTTGAAACCGTATAAATATTCTTTTAATACATTTAAACCGTATAAATATATATATATATATATATATATATATATATATATATATATATATATATATATATATATATATTTCATTTAAAAACCAAAGTTTTGTATAAATAGATATATATGAGTTGTGGATTGATTTTTTTATTCGTATCAATGTATCTATTTACATTCTATATCTGAAGTCAGTATGGACCGTTTATTAGATGAATAAATCTGAACAATATTTTCTACTATTTATGATCCCATATGGCTTCATACATATTTTATTATTTGTATATTCATCATAGGTTTGCTCGTGTTGGGTCGATTATTTTAGCTCTTCATGATGCTAGTGACGTGTTTCTTGAAGTAGGGAAGATGTCGAAATACAGTGGAGTGGAAGTGCTTGCAATGTTTTCATTCCTTTTGTTCGTATTGTCATGGGTGGTGCTTCGTCTTATTTATTTCCCTTGTTGGATTCTATGGAGTACAAGGTTAGATACGATGCTTATTGCTTAATACATAATTTAGAAATTTGACTATCTTACATGTGTTTTTACTTAACAAACTTATTGGAGAAATTATTTAATTCAATCAGTTTTATATTAATGCTTTTCACTCAATGTAGTAAAAACGACTAAAAAATAAACTCAATGAAAGATTACTCATTAACTTCTATCCTTTTGATAAAATAATTTTGTGTTTCTTAATGTTTTATGTCATATTCTCATTTGTTTTTAAATATTATTTATCCAATTTAAATGCAAAAGGGAATTGTTATTGTGTGACCATGAAAGTTGTGAATCCTTTTGTCTCGTGAAAGTTAGAACTTTATTGAACTTATCAGTAATTAAAGTTACATGTTTGTATATTATTAGAGGTCGAATAAATTAATGACGCTGTCCATAAGTTCTTGTATAGTTTTTATTAAAATGTATTTTGGATATTCAAAACAAATGTTTTAAAAATCTAGTTTTTAGTTGAATCGACTTAATGATAGTTTTTCACTTCATTGATAAAAAAATTGAGCATTTTATCAAACAAACCAAACAAACGATATACACAATAATAATAATAATAATAATAATAATAATAATAATAATAATAATAATACCTACAAGAGGTTGAAATATCATCAAAGGTAAAATATCTTATTTTTATTTTTTTTATTCAATTAAACCCGTTCAAACAGATTCAATTTAATTGTTTTAACATGTTTAACTAGGTTTTTATAAACCAATGACTCATTACGGTCCAAAATAGAAATAAACCGGTCAAAAACGATTTGACTATCATTTTCAAACAAGTTTTTAAAAATATCTTTATTATAATAAAAGAATAAGTTTAATTTTCTATTAACAAGTGTTATACAATTACGATTCCTTATTAATGATATATATCACCTATTATACCACTTGTCAATCTATTAATTATCCATTTCAAATTTCAAATTTCCACTCTAATTACATTAAATTAATAATTGATTCCTCATTTTAAATTTTAAAATTTTAATTTTCTCACTTTAATTATATTAAATCAATAACATTAAATTGAAAAATAAAATAAAATTAATATAGATTATAAGGTGATATAACTTCATATATTTATTTAAATAATTGATTATAGTTCCCTTTATATAACTAAAAAAAATTCTTAAGTAATTTTTTTTTTAAATAACTAATTAATAAATTTGATTTTTTAATATAAAAATTTAATTAATTTTATAACCGTGGTTCTCACAGGTTATAAACTAGTTGTTTAATACAACAAACCTCTCTCTCTCTCTCTCTCTCTCTCTCTCTCTCTCTCTCTCTCTCTCTCTCTCTCTCTCTCTCTCTCTCTCTCTCTCTCTCTCTCTCTCCTGTGTGTGTGTGTGTTTGTGTTTTTTTTTAAGAAAACAAAGAAAACAAACTACTAGTTTTACTTAAATTACGCATGAACTCGAATAATATGATATTCATGACTCTTTTTTCCATAAAAATTGCAACACCTTGTTGAGCATCCCGACACATGTTCAAAAATTCTTATATAAATTTTGCATCAATCTTGGTTTACTTGTAACTTTGCTAAATAGTATCCCTTTCAAGTATTTGACGTGTATTTATGATGTGTTTGACAAAACTAGTTGATAGCTAGTAGCTCAAACTTTGAAGTTAGTAGTTTTATTTAACTAGTATTTGAGTCCGCGCTCTGCAGCGGATTTTTACGCGTTTTAAATAAGAATTGATTAAACCGGTGTAGCATATCACATATAAGACGTAAAAATTATTTAAAAAAATTAAGTTTAAAAAACTTTTCATTAAATCTTGGAAGAAAACAGTAAAAAAAATTAAAATTAGGAAAGAAAAGGTGAATGTATGGAAAAAAACGAAGAAAAAAAAAGTACATTGTTGAAAATTGTAAAAAAAAACCAAAATATTTGGTCGGATTTTGATATGTGGCATAATGGTTCCGTAAAACAATAAGTAATATATTTTTTTCTCGAAAAATCCAAGTTTTAAAGTTTATTTGTTGTATGATAATGGGCTACAAAACAACAAAAATTTATAATAAATAAGTGTATGTGATTTTACTAAAAAAAAGAATCAAGAAAGTATTTTTATAATGTGATGGATTGTGAATAAACGAAAAAAAATGAAGGGGCCATTTCTATAAATTTGTATTCATTCTTAAACAAATTCAATGAATAAAAAGTAAAATTGTAAGGGTTATGATTTATGTAAGTTAAACTTAAAAGCAATTGAAAGATGCGAAGACAGTCACACGAACCCAGTTTAACAACAACTTGTACAATGTGCATCATAAGTTATACTATTGGCTACAGTGATTTTACACACAAAAGAAAAGTTACATTTTGTATATATTTATAATGATCGGAAGTTATAGCTTTTAATTTTTCAAAGAATGTTTGGCAAAAACAAATGAAATATTTTGAAATTTATAGGATTACATAAAATGATAACTTTTATATATGTATATATATATATATATATATATATATATATATATATATATATATATATATATATATATATATATATATATATATATATATATATATATATATATATATATATCCGGTAAGAAAATTTTTTTAGTAGGAAGGTAAGAAGTTTTTTTTTACATATTTTTTTGACGAACAAAAAAAATGAATCACTAGATGATTCATTTGTAAGATGATTCACAAGAAAAAATTCTCAAAAAAACATCTTTATGATTCATTTTTAAGTAGGGCTGTCAAATCGGGCAGTCGTGTCGTGTTTTTGTCTGACACGACACGACACGACAAGGTTTTGTATAACACGAACACGACACGACACGATGTCGTGTTTTTTTTCATTAACACGAAAACGAACCAATTAAAACACGACAACACGACACGACACGACAAAGATAATATTACATAACTATTAGTGTATTTCATTCATACTTACAGATATATAACACGACAAAAACGACAAACACGAAAAACACGACAAGCACATGCTTAATCGTGTCATTTCCGTGTCGATTTATGAACACGAACACAACACGACCCGACATCGTGTTTTTTAATCTTGACACGAAAACGACACGAACACGAATTCGAATTTTGATTTCGTCCCGATTTCGTTTCGTTTCGTGTATTTTTGTCGTGTCGTGTCATAAATTGATACCCCTATTTTTAAGTAAATTAAGAAAAAATTCACTTTTATGACAATTTTAGTGAATAACAACAAAATCATTATATAAATGAATCATCGAGATTTTTTTTGAGAATTTTTTCTTTTGAATCATCTTACAAATGAATCATCTAATGATTCATTTTGTTTGTTCGCGAAAAAAATATGTAGAAAAAAAACTTCTTACCTTCCTACCAAAAATTTCCTTCTTATTTGATCTTGATTATATATATATATATATATATATATATATATATATATATATATATATATATATATATATATATATATCTTTACTACTTATAAAAGAAATCTAACTATTTCTATAAATAGATTGAATATAATAATATTATTTTTTTAAGACGTACAAACGAGTAAGCTAATATTACAAACAACCATTAATAAAATAATATTAAATTTTAAATTTGTTTTGATTCCTTATATTTCTCAGCAAAATCCTAATTTCATGGTCATTCAAAATTTAAAACCTTTTCATCCTAATACGCTTCAACAAATATCCTTTAAATGTTGCATTTGCAGTGATTAAAATATCTCATAGCAGACGTGTGTTTGTTCTCTCCACCTTATAAACCCTGCTATAAATCCCACTGCCATGAAGTATTTCCCTTATAAACCCTAATCGTTTTTCTCCCTCTCTTAGACGAAGACAATGTGTTTTTTTTAAGAAAAAAAGTTTGAAAATATTCCAATTTCTCAAAAAAATTTACCCCAAATGCGAAACTGGGTAAAATTTTCCATTTTGCGAAGACTACAGGGATGCGAAATGAAAATTCTGCACTTTTGTCTTTTTATGACCCCATTTTGCGAAGTTGGACCACTTATATTATTTCTTGAAAAGATCAGGTGCCAAATGCGAAACTCTAAGCTTTCTTCCCCAATTCGCATTTATACATTAAAAACTTCGCATTTTCATTCAAATTCTTCGCATCTTGCATCCATCCGTCTTTGAGTTCATTCGCATTTCATCGCATTAACTGAGAAATTAATCAGTTGTCTGATATTCGCATTTCAGTTGTTTGAGAAACCCAGATACGAACCCAAATGCGAAACCCACTGATTTCAAATGCGAACCAACCAAAAATCATCAACCACGTACTTGTGTCACCAAATGCGAACTGAATATCACCATTAAATTCTCCTCGCATTCCATAGATGCGAACACAATCCAGATCTCCGACTCCAAGCTTGCGAAATCAAAACCAATTAACCTCAAACAAATCGTGAACTTCTTATGCGAACTGTTTTGACCCACAAAACCAAATGCGAACTCAATTGATGTCATATGCGAACTGATTTCATAGATGCGAACACAATTGATTTCATATGCGAATCCACATCCATCGATATGAAACCAATACCAGTTACAAGCAATTAGTAGCAACCATCGATCCTCTAATTTTCAATTACTCAGCCTTCGCTTTTCATACAACCCGTCGACCCTGAAAAATCGATAAACACCAAATGTCTCATTTTTAGATCGATTTTCTGATTAAATGTCATATTTGAAGAATGATCGATTTTCTGATTAAATGACCCCATTTTGCGAAGTTGGACCACTTATATTATTTCTTGAAAAGATCAGGTGCCAAATGCGAAACTCTAAGCTTTCTTCCCCAATTCGCATTTATACATTAAAAACTTCGCATTTTCATTCAAATTCTTCGCATCTTGCATCCATCCGTCTTTGAGTTCATTCGCATTTCATCGCATTAACTGAGAAATTAATCAGTTGTCTCATATTCGCATTTCAGTTGTTTGAGAAACCCAGATACGAACCCAAATGCGAAACCCACTAATTTCAAATGCGAACCAACCAAAAATCATCAACCACGTACTTGTGTCACCAAATGCGAACTGAATATCACCATTAAATTCTCCTCGCATTCTATAGATGCGAACACAATCCAGATCTCCGACTCCAAGCTTGCGAAATCAAAATCAATTAACCTCAAACAAATCGTGAAGTTCTTATGCGAACTGTTTTGACCCACAAAACCAAACGCGAACTCAATTGTTGTCATATGCGAACTGATTTCATAGATGCGAACACAATTGATTTCATATGCGAATCCACATCCATCGATATGAAACCAATACCAGTTACAAGCAATTAGTAGCAACCATCGATCCTCTAATGAGGAAACAGTTTCCTATTCGATTGTGCTTTGCAATGACAATCAATAAAGCTCAGGGACAAACAATTCCATATGTAGGTATCTATCTTCCAGAACCAGTATTCTCGCATGGACAACTTTATGTTGCATTGTCCAGAGGGGTTTCACGTTGCAATACAAAAGTATTAGTAAAGCCTAACGAAAATTCAAAAGGTGATGGGGTTTATACAGCAAATGTGGTGTATAAAGAAGTATTGCACGATTAATATTTTGTGTCGTCTTGACTGGTTGCTTTTTATTGGTTATTTGATGCATGATGTAACAAATAACACCATAGTTTGATTATATTGTCTTCAACATGTACTTTTTTTTAACATAACAATTTTGTAATGGAAACATATCACCGAAAGAACTCACGTGCCCCGCCGCTTTGCGCGGGTAGACGGCTAGTATATATATATATATATATATATATATATATATATATATATATATATATATATATATATATATATATATATATATATATATATATATATATATATATAGAACCTCCAAAACTAAGTCATTTTATCACAAATAAATTTAATAAAAATTAGGCTTCTTAATATCTTGTTTGCTTCCGTTTATATATTCTTAAAAAATGCCAATAATTTTATCCCAAATCAAATTAAATAAAACTTGATTTCCTGATATCGTTTTCTTCCGTTTATATATTCTTTCAAATGTCAATAATTTTGAAGTCTGCAAGTTTTCTAACATATTTTTTATTACTTGACACATTTTGATTAAAAGTAGTATATCAAACTGTTTTTTTATCAAATGTAAAGCATGTACACTTCCAAAACTCAAAGATATTATCCCATTAATCATTTAATCATTTATCATTTTTAAAATGTAATATCATTTCTTTTTTTCATGTGTCACCATAGACCAACAACAAGTTACGTTCACTTTTTATCTTTTTAATTTGATTCACATATTCGTGTGTGGTAATTCCCAAATTTATTTGCAATGATTGTTTGTTAATAATAGATGTTTCCTATTGACGTCTGAGATGATGAGATCTAAATGAAAATTTTGTCAATTTAAAAAGGAAACCTAAAATGTAGGAGTAGAGATTTAACCTATTTTAAATCAAAATCACATCGTTTTGTATGGTTTTATTTCTAAAGTTATAAAACCATATATTCACTTTTTCATATATAAAACAGTAAGGGCAATTTTGAAAAAGTTTTTTCTTAAATGTTATGGAGTATACAAAGTAACATTTACATTTGTATATTTTTGTTGAAAATAAAAACTAAAAGATATTACTCTTAAGTAAAACTTTTTTGTTTAAATTTAGATTTTTTTTATTAAATCTAAATGTTAAAAAGCTCCTAAAATGTGCTTCAAACACACCTTTAAATTTTATTTCTATTGCACGCCAAAATCAATGATTAAGCATTGATTTTAAGCTTTTTATAGAGAGACACGCCTTTAAAACATATAAATTATATAAAAATAATTTTTCTTTAATTCGTTAAATATTATTTTATAATTTTAAAATTAAGGACGGCGGCAGGGATGACAATAGATACGATATACAGGGTTTCGTGTTCTCCATCCTATACCCGAATCCCTATCCCCATCCCTATACCCGATCCCATCCCCATTGGGGATTAAAAATCTATCCTCATCCTCAATGTGTATCGGGGATCCCCAATGGGTAATCGGAGATTTTTCCGTGTTAAAAAGTTTTGAACTTTTATGAACAATAACTCACAATTATATATTAACCAACAAAACAAAAACTAATAAAACTAATATAAAACATTATAATCATTGAATGTCTTCAAACACGAACAATAAGATTCAAAGTTACAAATAAAATAATTTTTTGCAAAAAAAAAAGTCATAAATTTTTTTTCCCAAAACTATACGTTTGATTGTCAAAATACCTTACTTTGTCTACTGAAAATTTGCTTATCATTATTAAAAATAAAAACATAAGTAATACTATATATATATATATATATATATATATATATATATATATATATATATATATATATATATATATATATATATATATATAGTATTACTTAGGTTAAGCAAATTTTCAGTAGACAAAATAAGGTTTTTTACCAATCAAATGTATGGTATATCGGGTACCCATCGAGGCTGATTTTGGGCACAGGTATGGGTACTCGACAGGTAGAATCATCCACATCCCCATCCCCATTTTTTATATTCGAGTAATACCCATCCCCGTACCCGTCCCCGGTCAACTCAAGTTAGGGTTTCGGGTAACCATCGGGTACGAGTCTTTTTTGTCATCTCTAGACGGTAGAGTCAATTGTTTTACAAATTAGCACATGATTATAATTTTTATTCTTTATGCAGTTTTGAGATTCTTGAAGCCTTGGAAAACTTTAAGGGTAATGAAGAAGGACTATATTACTATTATTTGTTTAACACTCTACTTTTTTGCTTGTTTGTTCTTCATATATATTGGTGGGTGTTAATTTATCGGTCGCTCCTTAAGCAAATACAAGATAGAGGCAGAGTTACTGAAGACATTCGTTCTGGTAAGTTACTTTAAGCTACCTGATTTTGTTATTATATGTAATTGCAAATTATGAATGGTTCCACACTTACATAATGCATGTTGCTACTCCTTAGATCAGATGATGTGTATAAGGAGCATCTTTCACTTTTTTGAGTGTTACATCATCTTTTTCCTTATTTTTTTTTCTTACATTAAAACGTAGAAAATTTTCATCTTTCATTTCCTTTCATTAAATTTTATTTTTTTTTAAATATATTTTATACAAATATTATACTCTTTTTTTAAGGAATTAAAAATCATGAATTTTGATATATATATATATATATATATATATATATATATATATATATATATATATATATAACTTTTAGTAGATATATAATTTAATAAATACTAACAAAAAAAAGCTAACCATTAAGAGGAGGAGAGAGAATGAGGAAAGCATTCCCCTCACCCCTTTCTTACACAGCCTTTCCCGCACCCTCATTGTAGTGTCCTAAGGTGCGAGTTCGGTTCCCGCTACACTCTGTGTAGCCTTATGCCATTTTGAAAGATTATACTCTAGGATTAAAGTTTAAGAAATGTTAACATAATGACAATGAAAGAATATATGTTAAGATTATTTTTGAAGAAGTTAACTTGGGTTTAGTAGTTTCAGTTTGATACTTTGAATTTATATATTAAAGAACCATAAATGATTTTTATGTGATTAATTTCATATATTAATAAATAAACAATATTAAAAACTTATCATGTAGGTATAAGAATAAGGAAAATAATCCATAATGCTAATAGTATTAGTCTGGTCAAAAAATTATCTTTTAGGTTTATTGTTTTTTTTACGGAAACAACGAATAAATTATATAAAAGGTCTCACACCTAACAAGGAGCCAGATGAGTTTAAAAAAACTAGGTATATCTAACAAAATAAGGAAATGGGAACAATACCAATTACTCCACCTACATGTATTATATTTTTCCTTATGTTTGCACCAAATATACACCATCAAAATTACATCATCTGCTACAATGGTAGGAAAATGAGTTACCTTGTTGTAAATCTTGTCGTTTCCCACATTCTAAATAGGCCATAAGAGACCATAAGTTATCAAAACAATAATCGTGCGTTTTTAGGGCAATTTCCCCAACCAGCAGCAAACTTAAGTATGTCAACAACATTAAAAAATCGTCTTTGAGGAATTTCACACCACCGAAATGTCCAATTGATTACAGTTTTCGCAAAAGGGTACCTAACAAGCATGTGATCAACTATTTGATCGTCTGTGTCGCAAAGATGACAATTTGTTGCTGACAAATAAACAACTATTTTCTTTAGTATGTTTACAACTATGATATGTCCCAACATTGACTTACATATGAAGCATAACACTTTCAAAGGGGACAATATGTGTCCATTGAATTGAATCTCCACCCTCCTGTGGTAATTCTTATGATCAATAGCTTTTCTAACATCCTCAACCTTGAATTTACCATGTAACATTCCGAATTTCAAGGAAAAAATTTCATTTATATTTGTTAAATATATCATAGTACAATTAGATTGTGTGGAAACATATTGCGACTGCGTGTGAGTACAGTTAACCCTTGCCCTTCTAAAGAATCACTGAAGTACCTAAAAAACTTTTTTATTCAACTGGGTAAGCATGAGGCGTAGTGAGTTTCCTAAGATACCATATACCCCAATGCATATACTTGCATTCAAAAAGGCCCCACCCCAAACTACATAATGGGCTCCGCCCAACTACCTAATGGGCCCCACCTAAACTACTTAATGGGCCCCACCCAAACTACATGGTGGGCACCGCCCGACATACATAACAATACATAGAGAATACACATTACGTTCTGTTGATAAAGGAACATAGAACCTACATTATTGACTCTATATTTCTAACTCTTATGTTCTAATATACAAGGATATATATATATATATATATATATATATATATATATATATATATATATATATATATATATTGTAACACATGATATAGTGAGATAACTCACTTGGACAATTACTCCGACTATTGACAACCATCTAAGTGATCCAACTGACAGTAATGCGTCTAACAGGTATTAACCTCTAAAACTATGATTTATTAATCTTTATGACGGCCTGGTAATGAAAGTTAGATATTTCATTAATCCCAATGAATTTTGAGAGTTCTATCAAATAAGATCATCCAGGTCGAACAGTTGGTAGGCAGGATCATTTCGGCATATAGTCTTTCTGAAATGCAACAACCAAACCAACGTGACAATTCTAGACACCTCTCCCATAAGTTGACTAATCAACATTATAACTGGAATTACTGATAAATCTTATTTATATATCCATAACAACGACTACAAATATAAGTATAATTTACACTAAAAGCCTAGCTTAACTTACAGGGATCCTAGCAAAAACCGGGATTTGTGCTAGGATAACTTCAATATTGAGCACTTCTAATTTCCAAACCTTCTGATGCTCGAGAGTTTCACTAAAAATGAAACTTTTCTAAACTTCTGAGAAACTCCAGAAATCAAACTTAAAGAACCAGAAAGAATGTGAGAGTTTATGTGAAGAATAAGGGGCTGAACGCTCCAAATTATAAGCAATATCAGGATACACGCCGTGTACATGGTTGGGTGCGTGCTACACACTTGGTCAGGGGTGATGATGTGATCATGAATGAATTTATTAAAAATATCTAGCGCTTTGATGGCAATAATAGGAGTTTAACCGTTTTGGTGCATAGACATTAACAATTATTACATCCCCCAAAATTGTTTTTCAAGTCCCACATATAGCAAAGAAGAATTTGGATTTAATTAAGAAAGACGTAGAGAACATGCATTGGTCCCAAATGCATATCAAATCCCCATATCTGGCTGAAAATTTACAAAATTAAAGTCGAATTTTGACCCATCCCAACATCCAGCAATATCAATGATAGAATAATCTGATACATATGTTTCTTAGATTCCAGCGAATTTGGTTTTATGAGTTACGTGCCCATTCCACCTTATGTGAATCACCAATCCCCCTGATGTTTAGTGAAAGAAGATTTATTGTGGTAATGGTTGATCACCCTTTTCACCTACAATTTGTTCTAAAATCTTGTTTAAATAATTGATTTGGAACCTAATTTGTTTCCCTGTGAAAACAATCTTTGTAATCTTAATAGTAACATATAAATGAGAGAGTGCATCTTCACTGGATTCACAATACATGAGATCGAAATTGGTAATCGATTTATTAAGGTCTATGGAGGGTTCCAGGGCAACAGAGCTTGAATTTCCCATCGATCTGAGTGGTTGAGCCTACACGGAGTAAGGATTGATTCTTGATGAATGCATATCAATTCTTTTTCTTTTGACTAAAGAGTCACCAATCTCATAATCTATTGTTAAAGATCATCACTATCCCAATAGAACAAATATTATCTAGAAGACTTTAGCTTGTTCTAGAATGTTATAGAAAATTCTAGAACATTATGGAAGACTATGGAAGACTCTAGAATATACTAGAAGAGTCTAGAATACTCCAGAACGACATGGAAGACCCTGGAAGGTCATGGATCATTCTAGATTACAATGGAGCAACCTAGACCTCTCCAGAACATGGTAGAACATTCTAGAAACATATGGAAGCATGTAAAGTATGTTAGATAGTTATAGAGTTATCTAGTATGTAGTAATTGTATGCTAGAATCTAGAACCTTCCTAAGAGGCCTATAAATATGTATGGAGCTCATTTGCTCCAAACCATTCAAGAAAGCATCAAAGAAAGCAAAGTGTGTAGTGGTCTCACAAAGTGTAAGTTCTTCTTAAGTGCCTATAAATATGTATCGAGTTCCAGACAATCCAAGTAATTTTTCTGCTCTGGTTAGAACCCCAAAAGAACTTAGATTGGATAGACCCCAAGACAATAGAAACCAACAAAGAGTGATCACCAATTGAAACCTATTATTAAATTTCTCTACTATAGGATCCCAACTTTGGAGCCTCAGCATATTATTGCCAATGGGAAGTCCCAATTAGAAAAAGGGAAGTTTATGCGCATTGCATCCAGTAATTCTAGAAAAAAAATTTGACTTCTGCAAAATCTACACCTACACCATACATATTAGATTTATGCAGATTAAGCTTTTGGCCAAAGACATAGTAGAAACATTGCAATAATTAAACAATCACATGTATATTGGAGCGATCCCAATCACCTAAGAATAAAATGTCATCAATATAAAGTAAATGAGAAATTTGAAAATAAGCAATCATAGCACCTCGAAAGAACACCACGGCTAAAGAATCCTCGACGACAACATGAAGAGCCTCCATAGCTAAAATAAAGAGAAAAGGAGAAAGAGGATCTTCTTGATGTAACCCTCTTTGAAGGGAAACTCTGCAAAAGGACTTCCATTGACGAAGGCAGAACTCTTGGCCAAACTTAAGCACCCACATACCCATAACCTCCATTTGGAACCAAATCCCAAGAAAAGCATCAAACGGTTAAGAAAGTCCCAAGATACTGAATCGAATGCCTTTTCAAAGTCCACCTTGAAAATCACAAGCTTTTTTTTTTGTACTAATCCAATATTTCATTTACCATGAGTGGGTCGTCCAAAATTTGCATGCCCCTGACAAAAGCATTTTGCTCATGGCTAACAACCAAGTCAATGACTCAATAAAGTCTTATTGCTAAGACCTTAGCAATAATCTTATACTGAAATCCAATAAGGCTAATAGGCTGAAAGTCAGTCACAATCACCGTGGCTGTTAATTTTGGGGTTTAAAGTCATAAAAGATGAATTGCATCCTGAAGGAATATTTCCCGTAATAAAAAAACTCACTTACAAATGCCATAACATCAACTTTCAAAATTTCCCAATTAAAAAAAAAAACAAACAAAAGCGAAGGTAAAACCATCTAGACCTGGCAATTTATCCGAACCACAAGCCCATATAGCATCACACACCTTTTTTCAGTAATAACCTCTTCCAAGGAAGTAATATGATTATCATCCAAGG